GAGATGAACAAAATTCTAATCTGCTTATCGCAGTGCCGCTAGTGGATCGCCATAACTGCACTTACCACTCCGTTTGTCACCCTACTCAAACCATCTCATCTTATCGAATGAAACTTACTTAAAGGCACCGTTTACGATAAGTTTAGGGTACCCTTTTTTGACAGGAATTCATAGAACTACTCTAGAATAAAGCGATAACAACGAAAAAAGCGCAAAAAAACGATGAACAAAAAGAAATAGAAAGGGTCAAAAAAGAGCTGGAAAGGGGGGTTGGACGAGTTGCACATTGGAAGAACGGCGGTTAAGGGAGTGTTCGGGCGAGTGTACGAAGGCGACGCAATGTCTGCAATAGCAGACAACACACCCAAGCAGACACATCGATCCAATGCGAATGTGGTGAAGGGCAATTAGAACTCGTAGTCAGCCTAGTGAGGGGCGGAGGCCTCCCGTCCCCCACTGTTCCTGCCCTTATTGTGCCCTATCCAGACCGTTTTCCGACCTCATCCCTGCACAAATGGTATCAGAGGGGGCGTCGAGTTCAAACCATGTGCAGATCTCCGAAACCATTTTTTCGTGAACAGTGCCTTTAACAGCCAAAGCTACATCGTAAATACCGAAGGCGTTAGGATTTCGATCGGCAGGTGGCACTTGCTCTCTTAGGCCCCTTATCTTCTTTAATCAAATATTACTGGTTCTTGTTACCGAGTACCTGGGATCCCGTCATATCCTACACCACTTATTAAAAAGCCAAGGTTCCACTGTTAATACGAAAAGCTGTAATCTTACCATATTTGAACTCTCTAGGTCCACAAAAACAGAAAACGGATTCCGGCTAAAATGATTACTCTGCACACACGAACCCCGCTCCCTGTAGGCTGAGTCTGGACCTGTCACCTGCCATGAGTGTTCCCATCCTTGTCCCCATATTCCTACCGAATTTAAACTCTCTGGGTCTACGTAAACAGGAGTTACGTACTTGCGACCTAAAATACCTATAGCGCAGGCCCCGCCCTCTGTGGGCGTAGTCCGGTCCTACCACCTGTCATAAGTGTTCACATGCTGCCCCCTGTACTTCTACCAATTTTGAACGCTTCGGGTCCACTGGAACAGGAGTTATGAATTTCCGGTCAAACACACACACCGACACACTAACAGACGCTTTTAGCGAATTATATAAAGTAGGATACGATGGGACACAAATGAGCTAAATCTTTTCCTATATCTTTTTTCTATATTTTTCCAATTTTATCAAGCGCTTCGAAGAATTAGTTTTTCTTTTTTGTTACAATCCGTTATGTTCGATTGGATCTAGATCAGAATAGCATAAGTTTATTGTTACTATGCAACCAGTCCCTGTTTTACCCCTGGCTAGAGCTTATGTTTTATGGAATCGTGTCGGTCGACGCACACTAAATAAAATAAAAATAAGAAGGTGTGTAATAGAGCTTTTCTAGAGGTTTTCCATATCACTACCTTTATGGTAATCATAAGCTTCACGGACGAGCAGACGGCAAACATACAAATCAACAAACCTACAAACTGACACACCAAGTTCCTGCTTTATAAACGGGAGAGATTCCGGTATGATAAATCTGTGACACCTCCTAAACCATACGTGGCGCAGTCAGGCCTAGATAAGGCGTTATGAGAGATTAAAAATTGTCTCTTTTGTATGCGTTGACGAATTTTAATGGCACTGCGGAAGCTGCGTCATTTACGAGGGAACCTATTTACGAAGTTCCTACAACTTTAGTCAGCTCTTTGCGCAATTGCAACAACCAAAACTCGTTCGAGTACCCCTTTCATGTCATTCCCGTCATGGCATCTCGTACAACCTCTACTTTCACTACTTTTTAAGAGTCCTTTTTTGGGAAATCGGCGAATTTCCTCGCTTCCTCCACCGCCGGTGCACTATTCCCAACTAGTGCTTCCGTTTTTCGGCACAAGAAACTACCTGAACGTAGATATCTAACTATCGTGGATTTCTTGAATAATCCATTGGTTAGATGATTTGTTGTGTGTTGGTATGAAAACGAATGGTGTGGGTTAGTGGTATGTTACAGTGGGCGTGGGTGTGTCTATGAGTGCCTGTTTGTTTGTGTGTATGATGTATCAATCGTCGATGAAGCATGATGTGATGATGACGTGTGTGTATGTCATCAGCTTCTATCACCCATTATCGATCCTCAGGTGCGAGTACCTATACAATGACATCATGAGGAGATTGCCATTGCTAAAAATAACGAATTTCGAAGTACGTTCATGTGCTGACGAATCCGAGATGTAATGGATGACGAAATTAAGCGGAATGGATATAAGAAAATCAGTGAGGTTCATTTCCATCCAGTCTATGACGAATGCTGCAGTATATCATTGCAGGCGCTCTTATTTTCGAAATCATCCGGCTGTTTGGCCAACCAGATGCATCTACAGTGAAGTACTCAAAGCCTACGGTTGGTTCCCTCACACTATAACTGGTTTCGAATAAGCTGTATAGATACAACTGGATATGGGCTCCTGCAAAGTCTGCAGCCAATCTTCACAAATGCATATCTTTGGCAAATCATTTGGACAATACTGCAAAAGTCATATTTCAACTTCTCGTCGTAGTTCGGATGAATCGCTGAGCCATAAATGTAATGTGTTGTGAGCGATTTCATACGAATTTGAAATTCGGACTCGGTGTAAGAGGTAGAGCTTAGCATCTACGGAATGTAGAAGGAACACCTTGCCGAATCCATTCTCAAAGTACGTTCACAACTGCTAAAAACAAAACAGAAGTCATGTCGTCTAAACTCCTCTCACATTGCAGTAATGAAAGCAAAACTTGTCCATTGTTACGCAGTGACAGAAGCTAGTATTGCTAACGCACAAAGAATTTTTCAGCAATATCTTGAGGACCTACGGATCTCCTTTCACTGAGGGTTCTCTCTCACTGAAGGATCCCCAGCCGGTTAGTGACGAGGCTACGTAGGGCGTCCCCAGGTGGCGGATAGGGGAATTAATCGCCGACCAAAAGTCACCGGTACTTGCCCAGAGACGCAGGTGGATTCAGGGGATGGACTCCTTGATTCTGCTGTGCTGGGTCGATATACCCTCTGTTCCTCCCTGGCGATCCACGCATACGTGTGTGGAGAGTCTGTGGGTGCAGTTGGTATCCTGCCCATCGACTCGGCCAAAAGCTTGCATTCGAGTGACGATCAAGTCACACTGGGAAGTATCTGGGAGGCGATTCGGGGCTGCCTCCAAAAACAAAGCCCCTTGTCCACTTCGGGATAGCCTGGCAAGCCCCCGGAGTCAATAGCCCCCACGTCAGAGCCTGGCAAGCTGCACGTTGGGTATCTTCACGCCAAAAACAGTAATAGAAATGGGCCTCATTCCCC